TCAACGCCTTAATCCCCTAAGATCAAAGGATGGAACAACATGTCTGAAAGTCAGCAAATCCATCAATGCTCGCTGGACATTTCCAGGACCTTCTGAATCATGATTCAACTGTTGATGAAGATAAGATCAATAACTTTCTCCAAAAAGCAATCAGAGAAGACCTCAGTTTGCTGCCTACCCTGGTAGAGGTCAGGAGTGGCACCAGGAAAATGAAGAATAACAAGGCACCCAGTGTTGACAGAATACCTGCAGAGATTTTCAAAGGAGAAAGAGAATAACTTGCGTGTCAGCTTCATGACCTCATCCTTAAAATCTGGAACAAGGAAGAAATCCCAGCTGACCTAAAGGATGCCTTGATTGTTACTATTTTCTAGGAGGTGGACAGAGCTGATTGCAGAAATTACTGAGGCATCTCATTGTTGGCCACTACTGGGAAAGTCATCGCCCATATCCTTGCTAACCTCCTGCTCCCACTTGTGGAAGAAATTCTTCCAGAATCTCAAAGCGGCTTCAGATCATCTCAAGGAACTGTGGACGTGATCTTTAGAGCATGTCAAATCTGGGAGAAGTGTTGTGAGCAAAATCAACCTCTCTATTTGATCTTCATCAACCTCTCGAAAGCCTTTGATTACATAAATCACAAAGCCCTATGGAAAATCCTGTCCAAAATTGGTTGCCTGAACAAGTTCATCAGCATTCTGAGACTTCTCCACGACAACGTCAGCAAGGGTTCTCAGCAGTGGGAATCAAACAGAACCATCTGAGGTGAAAACTGGAGTGAAGCATGGTTGTGCATTGCTCCAACTTTGTTTTCCATCTTCATTTCCACCATAATGCACCTTGTTGACAGAAAGCTTCCACCTGGAATTGAAATTGTGTATAGGATGGACAGAAGACTCTTCAACCCCAACAGACTCAAGTCCAAAATGAAGACCATGACAACTTTCATAATGGAGCTCAGTGTCATTGCTCAATCTGAAACGGACCTGCAAACCATTTCTAATGTATTCTCAGAAGTCTATGAGAGTATTGGCCTAATTCTAAACATCAGGAAAACGTAAGTCCTTTACCAACCTGCTCCAAATGGAGAAACAAACCCCCACTCCATTCAAATCAATGGGGAATTGCTGGAGAATGTGGATCACTTCACCTATCTTGGAAGCTGTCTTTCATCAAAGGCAGACATCAACATGTAAATACAACAACACTTGAAATGTGTGAGGGCAGCCTTTGGATGTCTGAGTAAGAGAGTCTTCTTAAATCATGACATCCTTGCTGAAATGAAGCTCTTGGTTTATCAAGGCATTGTCATTCCAACTCTGCTGTATGGCTTGGAAACTTGGACCACATACTGAAGACATCTCAAGAGCTTGGAAAAGTACCACCAATGGTGCCTTCACAAGGTCCTTCTGATTAGCTGGGAGGATAGACGCACAAACATCAGTGTTTTGGTCGAAGCAAATTCCAACAGCATTGAAGCCATGATTATCCAAAACCAACTTTGCTGGACAGGTCATGTTGTTCGCATGTCTGACTCCCACCTTCCAAAGAGAATCTTTTTCTCACAGTTGAAAGAAGGTCAGCAAAGTAGTGGAGGGCAAAGAAAGCGCTTCAAAGACACCCTGATGGCAAACATGAAGAGGTGTAACATCAACATCAACACTTGAGAGACCCTTGCTCAGAATGGACCAAAATAGAGGAAGACTCTTTGGGAAGAACCTCAACACTTTGAAACAGCTTGTCAACAGGCAGAAGAGGAAAAGAGGAACAAGTGAAAAGAACACCAGAACATCCAGTGCAGCAACACAGTGCCCACCCCCACAGAAACACTGGTCCTCACTGCCACAAGACATGTGAATCTAGAAGTGGGTTATGGAGCTACCTGCAGACTCACTATTAAGATCCTTGGAAGACAATCTTACTCATTCATGAGTGATCACCCATCATCAGTCTGGGAGCTGACCTTGCCTGTGAAAACTGAGGCAAAAAAAGGCATTGAGCACTTCAGCCCTTTCTTCATCCTCTGTCATAAGGTTGCCTCCCCCATTCAGTAAGGGACCCACACTTTCCCTGGTCCTCCTCTTGCTACCAACATACTTGTAGAAACCCTTCTTGTTCTTGTTAGGAGGTCACTTCTCTTCCAGGCTTCTGCAACTGTGATTCTTGCAGCCACTAAAAGATGAACAACCAATTTCCTGTGACACTTATATGTTGCTGAGTGCTCAGTAAGGCTCAGTGGGAACCCTAAAGGGTTATCTGATAATTGGCATACTGTTATTTCCTTCACCGTGTCTCCAAACTTCTTCCAAAACAGTTTAATTCTGGGACTTGTCCACTACACGTGGTAGAATCTTCCCATTAAAAATGACATTTTAAAAATAATTTTCCCATTCTTAGTCTGATTACAGCTTCCCCCTTTTTAAAACTAGTGGCTTTCCACCCTCTTTTTTATTTTTCCTGTATTCGTTCACTCCTTTCCTGACAGTTATAACTGCCATAGGTCAACCTGCTTCCCTTACTTTTAAAAACCACACTTGAAAAAACCAAATATTTTGTGAGGCATTTCTGTTTTGGTGCCCAGATGCTCGTTAGAGTAAGCTTCTATGCTCCCTCCAACATGTGCCTGCTCCTATATTATAAATGCATTTAACTTTAAGTGGGGTGAGATACCATCGACATAGGATTTAAAAATAAGTTTCCTTTATTATCATGCAGACAGATGCATGAGGACATCAGTCAAACTAATCAGGAAAAGCAAGATATTAAATACAACACCTCAGATGGCCAAGAAATAGAGGTAAGTGGAATGATCCTACAGAAATCTCCACAGATGTGACAAACCAGGATAGCTGTTCTACTTCACATTTGGCAAGGTCTTGTCAGTATGGTTTGGGTTTTGTAAAACCAAGACTGGGAGTGGTGGTGTCTAGTCATAGATTCATAGATTCATAGATTAAGGGTCGGAAGGGACCTAGTAGATCTTCTAGCCCGACCCCCCGCCAGGGCGGGAGAACAACAAAAAACCCCAAAAAGAGAAAGGACTCAAATGAGTCCAGCCAGGTAGGCATCCAGCCTCTTCTTAAAGACCCCCAGGGTAGGGGCCAGCACCACTTCCCTTGGAAGTTGGTTCCAGCTCCTAGCCGCCCTAACTGTGAAGTAGTT